AGATGAACTTTTTACTAATGTCGGTCAAAAGTTTGAGACAGAGACCGTAAAGCATGAAGGCTATCGTTTTGACTACCCATTAAGATGGCTAAGAGACCCATCTGTCACAAAAGCTATTGGCTTTCGTAGAATGAAGTTTGTGTCTGTAGAAGATAAAAGTTTTCCATTTATTGTAAGGTTTCATATAGATTATATATCTGAAGGGAAACGAAAAATGTGGGAAGAAATTGAGCTAATACAAGTTGACCTTTCATCTTCTCTACAGACTGCGTTAAAAAATATAGAAGATAAAATAAATTCATGTTATGCAAAATATGCTGATGAATATGCAAATACCGAGAGCACACTTTATGTGAGAATTGTATATGACAAACAAAATTCACAAGTGTCATTTCAAATCTACGAAGACAATCCAAAGAAAGACGAACAAATATATACAGAATTCACTGCAATGTCATGGTATTATTTGCAAAGAATGTTAAATCAGAAAGTCAAACTTCCTTTAGCAAATATTTACAGTCGATATGCAAGAGATGAACCATATTTATTTAAAGATGTTTTCGACCCAGCTGCTATTATTGTTCATGCTTCATTTTCTGGCGCCCAAAACTCTTTCTTATGCTTGGCAAATGACTTTTACGAAAACCTACAAAGTTATACGAACCACCAAGTGGAAGTATTTCAGACTTTCAAGTATGGTTTACTACAGATGGAAGAAAAAGAATAATTCCATTATACCATGCGTTTTTACTTAGAACTTAGTTTCATATACAACTACTATCGAACGGTAAAAATATAATTTTTTAATACGGTTGAGGTGTTGGATTTGGTTGCCAACTAGACTGTGGTGCAGGTTCAGGCTGTTGTATAACAGGAGCTTGCTCTTCTGGTTCAGGGTCTTTAGGTATAATACCAACGAACTGACCTACTCTCTTTACCAATATTTTTGACTCCGTTCCAAATTCCTCTTCCTACGGTTTTTATTCCATTCCATATACCTCTTCCAACATTTCGAAAGAAGTTTCCAATACTACTGAAGAAACCCATTTACTATATGTAAAAATCTAATGTCCGCCTAGTCTCTTACGTTTCCTGTTGAGTTCCATAGCATTCTTTAACTGGAGCTCATACATTCTGTTTCTCCTCTGGTAGAAAACATATTCTGGGTCAACTCCTGTGTTCGCGTCATCTGCATAAAGTTGTTTATATCCCACTTCAGGGTTTGTATAAAACTCTTTCCATCTCATATTTGCATACCATGGTGGCAAACCTAACGCAGCGTCATTTGACATGGCAGTTTGCATTTGTACATCTGTTGGCACTTGACCATAGTTTGCCATTGCAGTTTGTATTCTAACTTCATTTGGAATATTCTCTGGGTTTGGTTGTCCAGGTTGCTGTGCATTCGCTAAGTTCTGTGCGTCCATTTAATATTAGATAAAAATATCTCTTACGAGTACATATACTGAACATTTGCAGGCATTGGTTCATCTTCATATTCTCTGTACTTTTCTGCCACGTCAAATAAATAAATGACACAATGGAAAAAACCTAAAACAAGTAGTCCTATTTCAAACCACATTTACTTACTAATAAAATTTCTTTATTGTGACACTTTCTCCAGTTTATAGGACCTCTCTCATATTCTATCTTGTCATATATAAACTCATAGTCATGTATGTCCTCTAACCATCTCATAACGGTTTCCAAACCACTTTTATCGGATGTAAAGTAAAAGCATGGATGGTTATGTAAAACGTCTAAAGTTTCTAAAGAGTCTCTCAAAGTCCAGTCTACTTGGTATTGAAAATCCCATGTGTTATAGAACGGCGGGTCCACTATAAAGAAAACATTTTCCTTGTCTTTATATTTTTCATACAACTCTGTCCAATGACATCTCACAAACTCTATACCCTCAATATATTTTTCTATGTCCTCTTTGAAAACATTTGTATAGTTAAGATATAAAACTTTTGACATAAGTGTTTCAATGTCATGAACTCTATAGAACCACTATATAATAGTCTAGCAGATATACTATCCCAGTCTATATATTCTGCTTTTTTCAAAACCTCTCTCACAATATTTTTGTTATCTAATGGTATACGTTCCATCTTACCTATAGGTATCTTTTCTTTTAACTCTTTCAATATATTGTTTGTGTCTGGTATATGTTTGAGACGGTCCATATAGTTGTCGAAGTCATTGCATATAATCTTTGAGTCTGGGAATATTATATGGCACAAATGGGATATATAGAAACTTCCACCGAACAAATCTACAAATGTTAGACCATTCGGTAGTTTCTTAAGTTCTCTCAATATAATATCTTTACATTTACTCTTATTTCCAAAGAACGGTAACGGAGGTTTTGTAAAATTCATTTATATATAATAATAAAAATGTTTTTCCCTGAAAAGTGACAGAAAAGTGACAAACATGAAAACATATATAATTTGTGAAAAGCGACACATTATATAATGTTTTCGACCCAGAAGAAGGCTTCTTCCCAGAAGCAATGGAGGAAGAAGAAGAGTCCTCCGAATTCACACCAGAAGACTAACAATTATCCGAATAAAAAACTTCATTTATACTAAACATCTTCGGGGCTAGAGGGCACGAAGTGCCTGGAAGCCCCACTACCTTTTTTTTTTTTTTTTTTTTTTAATATCATAATCTATTTCTCATTTTAAGTACATCTTAATTCATTTTATTTTCTATATTTTTTCAATATTTTTGAGGGAATTGTGTTGCTTCCCCGATGATAAAATTGAGAGGTTTACACATTGACACTACTTAGCATGCAACAAGTTTCATTATCTGTTTAATATTTTGCGGCCATTCATCTATGATACAAAAATAGTCTCTGAGTCCAGCATTAATTAAATGATGACAATAATCTGTCCAAAATCTAAACGTAAATGTAATTGAATTTCTAAAAAGACGTTATAGTTTTGTGAGCAAATTCCGATAATATTTCCGGAATTCAAATATTGCATTATATGACTATTTTGCAGCAAGATTAAAAACGGATGTGTCCGTTTTTTAATAAAAAACTCTCAGAAAATATTGTAGGGTTTGTTCAAATCACTCTTCATCAATGCGTGAAGTTATCTCCATCCACGTTGGTCAGGCCGGTGTCCAGATTGGTAACGGCTGCTGGGAACTCTACTGCTTAGAACACGGTATCCAGCCAGATGGCCAGCTCCCATCAGATAAGACAATTGGCGTCGAAGATGATGCCTTCAACACATTCTTCTCCGAGACAGGCGCCGGCAAGCACGTTCCACGTGCTGTTTTCGTTGATCTTGAACCAACAGTTATCGACGAGGTCCGTACAGGCACATACCGCCAACTCTTCCACCCAGAGCAGCTTATCTCCGGCAAGGAAGATGCTGCTAACAACTACGCTCGTGGCCACTACACAGTTGGTAAGGAAATCATCGATCTCACACTCGACCGCATCCGTAAGCTTGCTGATCAGTGCACAGGTCTTCAGGGCTTCCTTATCTTCCACTCCTTCGGTGGTGGCACAGGTGCTGGCTTTGGCTCCCTCCTTCTCGAGCGTCTTTCTGTCGACTACGGCAAGAAGTCCAAGCTCGAATTCACAGTCTACCCATCTCCACAGGTTTCCACAGCTATCGTCGAGCCATACAACTCCATTCTCGCTACACACTCCATGATCGATCACTCCGACTGCGCTTTCATGGTCGATAACGAAGCTCTCTACGATCTCTGCCGCCGTGCTCTTGATATCGAGCGCCCAACATACACCAACCTCAACCGTCTCATCGGCCAGGTTGTTTCCTCCCTCACAGCCTCCCTCAGATTCGATGGTGCCCTCAACGTCGATTTCACAGAGTTCCAGACAAACCTTGTCCCATACGCTCGTATCCACTTCCCAATCTGCTCATATGCACCAGTCATTTCTGCAGAGAAGGCATACCACGAGCAGCTCTCAGTTGCCGAAATCACGAACTCACTCTTCGAACCAGCGAACATGATGGTTAAGTGCGATCCACGCCACGGCAAGTACATGGCATGCACACTCCTTTACCGTGGTGATGTTGTTCCAAAGGATGTCTCCGCTGCTGTCGCAACAATCAAGACAAAGCGCACAATCCAGTTCGTCGACTGGTGCCCAACAGGCTTCAAGATGGGTATCAACTACCAGCCACCAACAGTCGTCCCAGGTGGCGACCTCGCAAAGGTCCAGCGCGCTGTCTGCATGCTCGCTAACACAACAGCCATCGCCGAAGCTTGGTCTCGCCTCGACCACAAGTTCGACCTCATGTACGCTAAGCGTGCTTTCGTCCACTGGTACGTCGGTGAAGGTATGGAAGAAGCTGAATTCCCAGAAGCTCGTGAAGATCTTGCCCTCCTCGAGAAGGACTACGACGAAGTTGCTGCTGAATCAGTCGAAGGTGGCGACGAAGAAGAAGATGGTGGCGAAATGTAAGAACAATAAAAACATCTAACGTTTTCTCCTTTTAAAAAATTTTTAATTTTTCATCAATAAATACTCAATTATACCTTATCATATTGACTAATCCTCCATCAGATATTAAGGAAAAGAGAAATCTACAACATTTAGCCTCTTGTTTCAAAATTACTTAATTGATTTCAAAATCTGTTTCAAAATTACTTAATTGTACAAAAATAGAATTGTGTATGATTTAACTTATAAGGGCACTAATAATTCCGAATTTTACCCTTATGAGATTAACCTCACCGCAGGAAAATGGAAAGTTGAGTGCTGGGGTGCAAGTGGTGCATCAGTTTCAGGCGTTAATTATGGATGTGGTAGTTATACAAGTGGGTATTTATCACTTCCAAACAATTTGACATTATATATTCATGTAGGAGCTAGTGGTAACAATTCTCAGCGTGAATATACTTATGGCGGCGGAGGCCCAGGACAAGTTGGAGGCGGCGGAGCTTCAGATGTGAGATTACTTCCAGGATCATATTTCGATGAAGATGGCCTGAAAAGTCGAATTATGGTAGCAGCTGGTGGGGGCGGCCATGATGCTTTTAAATTCGGTGGTTCTGGCGGTGGACTACAAGGTTTTGATAGTGATGGTAAAGGAGGAAATCAAACCTCGGGAGGTGATGGCCTTTATCCAGGAAATTTTGGATTAGGAGGTGGAAACGGAGAAAGAACTTTACCCAATGGTACTCCAGATGGCAATGCAGGCGGTGGCGGAGGTTATTTTGGAGGTGGTACAAGTTTTGGCGAATCATATGGTTCTGCAGGTTGTGGAAGTTCATATATAAGTGGTTATCCAGGTTGTATTTCTGTCGCTGAAGATTTCAAAATCTTAAGTCCTAAATTTTCCAGTCAAGCAGATCCATCAATACATTTCTCTGGAATCAAGTTCGAAAACCCGATAATGATTGATGGGAATAGTCTTATGCCAGCTCCATTTTTTGATAAAGTAATCACAAGAACGGGTAATATTGGAAATGGCCACGTCATCATTTCATCAGTTGATTATCATAATTATCCTAAAATTCATACCATTCCTTATCGAGTTTTATGCTCAATTCCATTGAAAATTCCACCATCTTTTGATGGAACATTCTTATTTTCGCTGTTAAATATATCTCATGACTAAAAAGTATATATATCTTTTCTTGATTTATTTAATATGAATTTTTTACAATTTTGTTGATTCACTAAGTATATAGAATGTAGTGATACGCATGAAATTATAGAAAGTTGAAGATTGATGAACAACATTAACAAAGATCATATATTGAGTTACATTGACTTATTTGTTCTTCACTATTTAGAATATCTGTACAATACATCATAAATATTTTCTGGAAGACTTATTGAGATATTATACTATTACAAAAGGTATGAAATTCGATTTAGTTTTTGAATCATCATCTTGACTTAAAATAAAATTTAACATTCTCATCAGATACAATGTTGCCTACAACGTCGATTTCACAGAGTTCCAGACAAACCTTGTCCCATACGCTCGTATCCACTTCCCAATCTGCTCATATGCACCAGTCATTTCTGCAGAGAAGGCATACCACGAGCAGCTCTCAGTTGCCGAAATCACGAACTCACTCTTCGAGCCAGCCAACATGATGGTTAAGTGCGATCCACGCCACGGCAAGTACATGGCATGCACACTCCTTTACCGTGGTGATGTTGTTCCAAAGGATGTCTCCGCTGCTGTCGCAACAATCAAGACAAAGCGCACAATCCAGTTCGTCGACTGGTGCCCAACAGGCTTCAAGACATGTGTATGATGAAAGATGGTAGCGATAAGGAAGAAGATATTGGTGAAATTTAAGAACAATAAAAGTACCTAAAGTTTTCTTTTTTTAAATCATTTTTGCGTATTCATCCTAAATTGAAACATTATTTATATATCTCACAAGGTGATGAATTAAAGATGAATCTTAAAAAATTAAAAGGTGACCAAACTATTTTTTGAAAGTCCGCCATAACTTTAATGGTACTATTTCAGCGTGTACAATGAATACAAAAATTCTAAGAGTGCCACATAAAATAGTACTTTAGACTTGAGTTAATGCTACCAAGCAAATGTTAAAAAGATGACTTTAGTGTTTTGATAATCAAAGATTAAAATCATTATTGTCTAAATCAATAATCATAACGACAGAAGTTAATGTTTTTTCATAAGTGCTTTAAATCCACTTTTAAAAGTATACCTCAAAAATCAAAATATCAAAAAAAATTGGCCGATAGGTTTGGCTTTAATTTTTGTCTGCTTTTATGATTTGATATGGATGTTATAATTTTAAAAGTTGAGCCAAATTCACCAATAGATTTTTGAGATTTGCAAATACTCAATAATTTTCAGCGTGTTATCTTTTATTAAAAGAACTATTTGGTTTCAGTATCATATAAATTGATATTTACTTTCTATTTGAACCTTCATTTAGCTAATGATTTAATAATACAGATTTCATCTAGTCCTTATAAGAGAATTTTGAATTTGTTATAATAAAAAAACAAACAGATATAGCTTACACTTCTATAATAAAGATACCTTTTATAGAAATCAGTATGAAATGTGTTTTTTGACACGTAAAGCTCTCAATTCATTATAACATGTTTGTCGATTTTTATATATTTTTCGCTTTCATTATCTATGATATTAAAAATTATGTCATCAGAATGTGAAATAATTAAACAAATGCCCTACGGGAAGTATTTTAAAAATTGATTGTAATTATAGTTAGATTAACCATCATCACTTGCAAACTGAACTAATTTACTACTTCTCCAATTAACACTCATGAACAATGTTTTTTTAAAAAAAAGTAGTAGAAGATGACGGGTTTTGTGACTTTTTTTGTAAACGTAAGAATTCATACAATATTGAACGATTTTGTATCATTTAAAATTAACATTATTTTTAAAATAATTTATTTTTTTATTCTTACATAAATAACCCAACAAGTAAAACCGGATAAAATAGATTATCGAATTTTAGAGGATGGTGTTCCTGTTTATATTCAAAGATTTAAAGGGAAGCAATATTATAGAATTCTTAATCCTGAATACATAAAACATTTATTTAAAAAGGAAGACTGTGAATTATTAAACGTTAATGAATATGAAAATGCTAAATCAAAACTGAGATATAAATATATTGGAAGTGATGAAAGGTGTAAAGATAAAGATAAAGTTTATTCAGTTTCATATTATGAATGGAAAACGATAAGATTAGAAAACATTTAGGAGATTATGGGGAAAATCTGAATTCTTTAAATCTAGTATATACGAGAGAGTAAAAGAAATTAGAAATAATTATTTTCATGAATAAAAAATAAACTTTAAAAATTCATGTCTTACATTTTTGAATAATTTATTTTTAATTCGTAAGAAAATGAGTGGATCAAGATTCGTAACCGTCAATCAATTAATGGATGCTCTTTCACCAATTCTTGAAAATGTTAAACAAGTAGATGTTTATTTCGATGATTATGTAGAAAGTTTATATTATAAAGGTAAACATAATATTAAACCATTGCTTTTGCATTTGATAATAAATTAATTGAAAATGCAAAAATTTGGGAATTAATTCCAGATATTGAATATATAACGAATATAATAATAAATGGTTCAAACGAATTCCAACCACAAAAGTTCTTTGTAAATTAATGATCAAAACGAGGCCAAAGAATTTCATGAATTTACATATCATCCAAATAAAGTTTCAGAACTAGAAAATGAAAAACTTCAGAAAAAATTAAACGATAGACTTTCAAATGATCGTATTGAAAAAATAAATAAACTAGCAGAAGTTGCATTTAATAATGAAATATTTGATGAATATAACCTTGAACTCAGTGATGGGCTTTAAGGACCCGGGCTCAACGAGTCATGATTTATGAAATCAATAATTTGATTTATTCGCTCTTCAATAATTTCTATTCTTTTTGTTAAATCATCTATTTTCATTAATGAGGTGATTCTTGATTGAGGAATAGATTTCAAACTAACCACTCCTTTTATTTTTGAAATTTTGAATCCATCAACTTTAAACATTTTATTCAATTTACATGTTGTCAATTCTTCAAATAATTTTTTATTATTAGCATAATAGTCATTAAATTCTTCAACAGATGAAAAAATTTTTATTTCAGTAATTGGTTTAACAACGTTTATTTTTTGTTGAACATTTTCACTTTCATTTATTTCTTCCTCCTCTGTTTCATTTATTTTTAAAATGGTTTCATTTATCATTAAATAAAAATTAGAATATAAGTGATGAAATATATTTTTTAATTAATATTAAATCAGAAATGGCGGCAGGATTCTTTAAAAAATTATGGGATGGAATTAAGAAAGCTGCGGGTTGGGTTCATAAAAAATTATTAAACCTGTTGCAAACTTTTTGGCACCAGTAGCGAAAACGGCAGGAACTATCATAGGTGGAGTATTAGGTACTAAAGCAGGTAATCCGGCGATGGGAGCACAAGCAGGTAACGCAATTGGTGGAATGCTGAAGGAATACTTAATAAAATAGGAGGTAGATAGTGGAAAAATAAATATATTATTTTTATCTTAGTATCGGTTGAAGTCTTTGATAAACTTTTTCTCCTTTATTTAATATTTCTCTTATTGGGGCAGCTTTTGGTGTTATTGATTCAGCAACGTCACTAATTGCTTCTTTATTCTTAAATATCCAATTTGCTCCTTTCTTCATTGTTTCCCAAACTTTATGCGCTCCTCTTTTTACTTTATCCCACAGTTTCTTAAAGAATCCTGCAGCCATAGTTGATTATTTCATTAAAATTAAAAATTCATTTTCATCTTTTAATTTTGATTTTTTATTTATTAATAAATGACGACTAACTATTTGGTGCCAAACACTAAACCGATTAATGGAAATGTGTTTCATTCATTCGAAAAGATAAATGAAATATTCGCAAAGAATGACGGTAGAAGATATTATAGAGAACTTGAAAGTTCATGCTATGACTCTGATGCTCCATATTTTGATGATAAACAAACTCATTTAAGAATTACAAATCCGGCTCATGATGTGAACCAATTAGGTGACACATATATTAAACGCAAAGTTAAAGCAACTCTAGTTTCAAATAAAGCTTTCACATGTGATGCCGCTTTTAAATGCATGCGTTTATTCGTTGGTTACAAATCATCAAATCAAAGCTTTAAACAATTAGAAGTAGAAACCGAAAGAGGTGATGCCGGTTATCTTCAGATGGATTGCGCCCGTGAATCTTTCGCATTTGCAACATATAAACCAAAATCAGAAAGGAAAGTTAAAAAGTTTGTTCATTCGTTATATAATAATGTTCAAAAATATGATAACTCAGTATGTGGTAAATATATTGACCCTTCAGAAGTTTTCAAGAAAGCAAATGAAGAAGTTGATGTCACTTTTGATATGATTATTCCGGTAAATGATTTGTTAGCATTTCAGGCGTTCGATGATTATCCTAAATCATTTGGTGAAATCATTCTTAAATATTATGTTTTCAGGGATACTTTAGTATTTTGTCAGGTTGACCCGTTAAGAGTTGCTGATTTACAAAATTACGTTTATGAAAAGATAACTGATGAAAATTATGAAAAGATTATGAATCATGTTTATAAATATGATCGCAAATTCCAACAAATCGGACTTCCTGCCAAATTAATTACAAGCTTAGCCGCTACATCTGCTGACGCAACAGTTGAGACGTTATTATTTCATGCACAAAGATGGAAGTTTTAGAGGATAAATGCATTACACCAGGATACGGTTTAATTGAAGAATCAGTTAAAGCAATACCACGTTTATTCAGTAAGGAAGATCCATTCATGATTCCAGCTCAACATATTGACGTTCGTTCACTAAATGGAGGTTGCATCACTCCTGAAGGTATTAGCTCAGATTTCTCATACGCTCTTCATAATGTTACAGATGTTGTGTTAACATTTCCGAAGAATGCAATGCAAAGAACAGTTTTAGAAAATCCAATGCTTCGAGGTCTTCAGGTCACTATAGATTCCAGAAACTTCCCCGATCAAGCGATGACCACAGTGGGTGACATATTCTTTACACGTATGCTTCAAGCTTCTGATTTAGATGGAGTGAATGAATGCACAGAAGAATACGAGGACTCATTAACTAGACCACTGAATGATGATAATGGCACGCCATTAGCTAGAACATGGAAAGACCAAACTTCATTCTTATGCACTATTCCAGTTCAACGTGATGGAGCGGGTATATTCTTTGATGGATTAGAAACTTTCAACTCACAAGTTACAGTACAAGTGAAAGCTTATCCAATCATTCAGGGTGAAAATGACACTTACTGTTCAAAGGTGACAAATCCTCCTCAGGTTTGGTTTACTAGGACTACATATTGGACATGGACACCGGATGAAGGTTTGAAATATCATCCAACAGGTACACCACCACAGTATAGAAGTTCATATGATGAAATATTGATGAATAGAAATGTTTAAAATTATAAATTTATTTTTGATTAAATGGATTTAAATTCATCCACCTTATGAAGAATTAGCGGGAGTATATAATACATACGTAGATGATATGATTAATGAAGCATTGAGTGATAATAGAAATGCTCTATCTAAGGAAAAATTAATGAAAATTCCATATTCTGAATGTTACTTAAATTCAATCACTGCAGCAATTGGTAAACAAAATAAAGGTAAAACATTAACGATATTAAAACAAATTATCATTATTGCTAACACTTCCCCCATTCACATGTGTTAATTTATATCAACCGTTCAGGTTCACCTTCAGATGATACATTTGAATCTTTAAAGCATTTAATCAAAATTCCAATTATTTATTTATCACAAGAAGAAGCAGAAGATTATTTAAAAAACTTTTTAATGTATAAAGAATTATATAATACAATCAAGAAGCAAGGATTAGAGGATAAAATTATTGATAAACAACGGGATGAATTATTTGAAACACTTTCTATTTCAAATTTTGATAGAGAATTTTTGCATTCACTCATTTTTCTAGATGATGCGTGAAATCAAAACTAATAACAAATGAGAAATCATATTTTAATCAGTTATTAACTCAATGTCGACACATTCAGTGTTCATTCTTATGGCTGTTCAATACTTCAAAGCATTAAGCACAAACATTAAATCAAATCTATCAACTTTTCATTTTCAGTGGTTTTAGTCGTCAACAGTTGAACGTTATGCTTTATCAAGTGAATTTACCAATGAGCATTAATGAACTTTACACACAATATCAGCAATTAGGTGAACATGGAAAAATAATAGTTGATTTAAATAAAGGTTGTTAAATTTGATTAACTTTTTATAATTAATTTTTATTTTTTATTTATAATTAAACATGACAGAAATAGCAAATCTTCTACAGGTTCCATTAAAACAAGGGACAAACAAAAAGGGTGCATATAATAGAACTATGAAAGTTCCAGACGGAATGAAAGAATTAGTCACATTGTTGCCGGTCTTCAAAAGGATGTTAAACAAATGAGAAACGTTTTAACATTACCAGAAGCTCAAGCATATGCCAAACGTCATGGACCAAATTGGGAAGCACACGAAGCAGACATTACGGGTCCAAATGGAAAACCTGATGGTATAAATGAAGTTTTCGTTACTGATGGTCAAGGTAATATTAAAGTCATAAATGGTTATAAATTAACAATGACTGATTATCCTAAACGTAAAGCATATAATGAACGTTATCCTATGCAATTTGATGAAAATGGAAAAGCTGTTAAACAATACATTGGAGAAGGTGAAATGGTCCAATTAATTCATACCGTCATAATCCATATTCTTATTTCAATGAAGAATTAAATGCTATTGAAGAGGGACCGGATGGATTACCACGATATGTTAATCAGTTTGATGGTCAATATGCAAATTTGAGACCTGAAATTCCAGCTAAGAAATTCTTTAAAGTTGCTTTATTCGATCCAGTGTTCAATGAACAGAAAGAAGCAATGAAAGCAGAATTTAAACCAATTCAAGTGGCAAGAATTTCTTCATCTTCACTTTCAGAAGCGTTCAAGGAATTGATAAAGAAACCACTTTATTCTCAACAAGGTTATAACTTTGATTTAATTAAAGAAAGTGATAGACGTAAATTAGAAAAATCAGATGGTTTTAAGAATGCATGTAATGAAATGATTAAAGATATTGTAAATGATAAAATAAGACTGGAAGAAACTCAAAGCAATATCAATAACATAATTGGTGCAGTTACAAAGAAAGTATAAGCAAACAATGATGAACCTTGGGATATTACCGTAACAACTAAATAAAACTTTAAATATATTTTTCTTTTTTTTATTCGTTTATAAATGAGAAGACGTTTCACTAGTCAAAAGAACACTAACGCAAAAAGCAGAGATTACGGTTGGTTATAACGTAAATGATGATAAATCACGAGATTATTCAAAATGTTTAAAGTTAATGTTAGTCCTGAATTAACAAGGTCAGCAACTCAACCAAATTTATTAACTCGTGACTTACCGAAGAATGAGGAGAATGAAGAAAACCATGAGAATGGAGACCCAATCATTTTATCTGAACCCGGTAAAGAACCCGTTGAAATCCCCACATATCCAACATACCCCCCACCTCTTCATCAAACATCGAGAACCCAGGAATATACGATTCCAGTCGCAATGCGCCATATAAAATAGACATTAATTCTGAATTAATGAAAATTTACCGTGATATATAATAACTGATAATTATGATTCAATAATAAATTTAATTGATCAATCCGGTTTAATTATTTTACCTTATGAATCATTAATTCACATTATCGCCATTCTTTGTGATGTTCAAGATTCAGACGTTAAGATTCAATTTTTCATAGATGATGAGGTTTCATGCTGCGGAACAGTTGCAAAATAAATCCTATAAAGGATATTAGCACAATTAAGATATCAAAGAATGGAACAACAACTGAACTACATTTAACTTATAATAACATATACAATAAAATAGTTGATGAATATAAAATATCACTTGAAAAATTCTTTGTTAAGACTATTTAATATTCAAGCATTAACATTATCGAATAATAATCCTTTGAATCATAATCAATAATAATTGACCTTTCACCAGTTTCTATCGTTTGTTTTATTTCTTTTTGTTCCCCACTATCTGGATCGGTCATTGTAATTGTTTTTGTTATAGTATCAGCTTTATCTTTAACTTCAATCTTTTTTCCATCAGGATATTTAAACCAAAATTCCAAAAATTCGATATTGTCAATCTGTTCATATTTTAATCTATCAATTACATTTTTAATACCATCTGAAAATCTTATGAAATGGTCATTATATGGGTTTGATTGAACTAAATTTGAATGAAGTGAAATATAACCTGATGATGAATATGACATTGACTCATATTTTCTGAAAACACTGAAATTTTATAACATGAATGAATTTCTTATTCGTTGAATTTATGAATTCTTGAGGTAATCTTATTCTAGTTTTATTTATCACTGGAAAATAACGCTTTACCATATTTTTAATCGTAATAAAAATGTCAATTATCAATATTATTTCGAATAATAGTTGTGAATTAAATTTAACAGTTAGCGGAATTTATAATGTTACTCTCGTTTCTGTGAGTGGTAAATTTAATCCCATTCTTTTAGACCCTTCAGATATATATATCATTTATTAAAGATGACCTTGAAAAAACGTATGATATGTATATAAATAATGTGATAGTGAAATGGGATATTAACATGATTTTAAGTTATTTAAATGAATCATTTATCGTATGGTATGAAGAAAATTTTAAATCAAAACCTGATAAACTTTTTGAACTTGATGAAATAAATAACCTTATTAAAATTCCCGCTGAAAATTAAATTTTGTACTCCTCATCTTCGTTCATTGTTGGGGATATTAAATTTTGAAAAAGATGTTGGGGATGTTTTGTATTCTGACACTGGTTCCAATTTCATTTTAATCAAATGTGATAAAGTTAATACCCCAATGAGATTTTCACATCAAACATTAGACCCTAACTCTTACCCATCAATACAAAACATTTTATCCATCAACTTAAACACATTTTCTTTATCATATCCGTTTCAATTATCCGGAAATTCATTTATTCTTCATTCAAAAGATTTATCAAATATTAAATTTAGAATAACTGACCTATTTGATTGTGATTTAGAATTTATGAATGAAATATTATGGCAATTTCAAATAGAAAAAAATAGCTGATGAGATAACGGATTAAATATTTATTTTTAAATCATAATAAATGAT